AGGAGGAGGAGGAGGAGGATGGAAATGGTGGTTCAGAAGAATTGTCAGAGTTAGTTGACGGCGAAGAGGATGAGGAAGAGGCGGGCAGGGGGACGATGGTTGGTGCAATTCGAGAGGCGCAGTTGGTCCGAAGATATCCAACAAGTCCGATTCGAGCCCGGAATGTCCGTTGACATCGAGGACACGTTGGAAGCGGTTGTGCGGCGGCGTTGCGTACTGGGCGATGTTGTGATTTGTGGGCTTCGCGTTTCGCTTTGGCGGCGGCTATGCGGTTGGCTTCGTGGATCGCAGCGCCCGTCTTCACTGTTCTCCTCCATGTCGGACGATCGCGGGCGAGCTCTTCCCAGTTGGTCGGGTTGATTTGCAGACGCTTCAGGGAGGACTTCAGAGTATCCTTGTAACGGCGAATTTGGCCTCATTGACGACGAGAACCCGTCGGGTCGTCTCCGTAGAAGAGTCGTTTGGGTAGTCGCTCGTCGTCCATGCGCACCAAGTGGCCGCTCCAGCGCAACTGCATTTGTCTTAGCATGGAGTAAATGCTGAGCATTCCCGTACGTTCTAGCACATCAGTGCCGGGGATGCGATCCTGCCAGTTCAGCCTCAGGATGCGACGGAGACAACTGAGGTGGAAGTGATTCAGTCGGCGTGCCTGCCTCGTGTACACCGTCCACGTCTCTGCTCCGTACAGTAACGTCAGCATGATGACGGCCTTGTACATCTTTAGCTTCGTGCTCAGTTGAAGACCGTGGCGATTCCAAACTGTGCTTTGGAGGCGACCGAAGGCTTGACTGGCTTTCGAGATCCTGTTGGCGACTTCGTCATCGATCTTAGTGTTCCGGGAGAGGGTGCTGCCCAGGTACGGGAAGTTCTCCACCACTTGCAGTTGGGTCCCATTCACGCTGATTTGCGGCGGCGAGTTGGGGGCTGTGACTGAGTTGGGTGGCGGTTGGTGCATCACCACCGTCTTCTGCGTGTTGATAACCAGACCGAAGTTCTTGCAGGCGGCGGAGAATGGGTCCATGCTCCGTTGCATCTCCTCTTCCTAGGTGGTGTTCAGGGCTCAGTTGTCGGCGAAGAGGAGTTCCTGCACGGTGGTCGTGGATACGCGCGATTGGAAGTGCATCCGCCGTTGATTCAGGAGATGACCGTCCGTCCTGTAGGCGATGCGGATCCCGGGGCGTTCGTCGCGGTAGGCGTCCATCAGCATGGCAGAGAACATAAGACTGAGGAGGGTAGGCGCCAGCACGCATCCTTGCTTCACTCCGTTAGTCACTGCGAATGCCTCTGAGATAGCTCCGTTGTCCGTGACTCGCGCCATCATACCGTCGTGCAGCTGACGCACCATCTGAGTGAATCGCTCTGGACAGCCGAACTTCTGCATGATCTTCCACAGTCCTTCACGATTCACCGTGTCGAAGGCTTTCGTCAGGTCCACGAAGGTAGAGTACAAGTGGGTCCGCATCTCCTGACACTTCTCCTGAAGTTGGCGGGCGGCGAAGATCATATCCGTGGTCCCACGATGACGACGGAAGCCGCATCGGCTTTCCGGCAGAAGACCCTGTTCCAGATGATTATTGAGGCGGTTGAGAAGGATGCGAGCGAAGATCTTCCCGGCGATGTTCAGCAAGAAGATGCCGCGGTGGTTGTCGCAGACTTGGCGGTTCCCTTTTCGCTTGTATAGGTGCACGATAGTTGCGTCCTTGAAATCTTGCGGGACTTCGCCTTGACGACACCTCGCCTGGAAGAGCGCAGTCAGGTGATCCATCAGTTGGGGAGCTCCGTGCTTGTAGACCTCAGCAGGGATTGCGTCCGATCCGGGTGCTTTCCCGCTGGAGAGCTGCTGCATGGCCCTGATGGTCTCCTGGAGAGATGGCGGGAGGTCGAGGTCCACGTTGGTCTCCACTTGCGGCAAACGCTCGATGGCGGCGTCGGAGATGACAGAGGGGCGGTTGAGGGCGCCTCGGAAATGCTCGGCCCATCGCTGTAGGATTTGCGTCTTCTCAGTCAGGAGAGTGTTGCCGTCGGCGCTGAGGAGAGGAGCAATGCCCTTCGTCGGCGGACCGTAGACAGCTTTGATCGCGGAGAAGAAGTTCTTCCATTCGTTACGGTCCGCGTAGCCTTGGATCTCCTCAGCTTTGCGAGCAGTCCAAGCGTCCTGCATCTCGCGCAGACGTTGCCGAAGTTGACGGCGACTACGGTAGAAGGCCGCTTTGGTGGCATCAGTGGGGTGATCTACGTAGTCTTTGTGTAGGCGGTTCTTCTCAGCAAGCGGATTTCTGATGGCGGCGTCGTTGTCGTCGAACCAGTCCTGGTGTTCACGGGGAGCGCGACCAAGGACGGCGAGCGCCGTCGACTGGACCGTGTCTCGCAGTTGACACCAGCGGTTCTCCACGGAGGCGTTCTCGGCAGCGGCGGTGTCGTCGGTGGCGGCAGCGATTGGAAGGTTGTCTAGCCGCTGAGCTATCTCATTTCTGAAATGAAGACGTTGAGCGGGCAAAGACAACAAAGCAACATTCAGCTTACCTTGTGGTCTCCTGCGAGGCTGTAGGCGAATACGCATCTTCGAGATGACGAGGCGATGGTCGGTCCACCCGTCAGCACTCGCGATCGCCTTCGTCACCAGCACGTCCCGCTGATCTCGCCTCCGGACGAGGACATAGTCCAGCAGGTGCCACTGGCGCGACCGAGGATGCCTCCAGGTGGCCTTCTCTCGCTCCGGCAGACAGAAGAACGTGTTCGTCAGGATGAGGCGGTGTTCTGCGCAGGTGCGGAGAAGCAGCAGGCCGTTGTCGTTGGAGCCGCGTAGACCGTGGGGACCCAGCACTCCCCTCCAGGCAGTATGGTCTGTGCCGACGCGGGCGTTGAAGTCGCCAAGGACTATCGACTTGTCCGCCTTCGACACAGTCGCCAAGAGGGCGTGCAGATCCTCGTAGAATTTGCCTCTTGCGGCGGCGTCGGGGCTGCTCATCGGCGGAGCGTAGGCGCTGATGATGGTGGCGAATTTGCCCCCACCCCGGCGAAGAGGCAGACGGAGGCTCATCAGGCGATCGTTGATGCCCTGCGGCAAACAGGGCAGTCGTCCCACGATGTCGTTCCGGATGGCGAAGGCGACGCCCGCGTCTCGTCGTTCTGCCTTGGGTCGACCACTCCAGAATAAGGTGTAACTGGCACCCACCTTCTCCAGTTGGCCTTGTTCAGAGAATCGGGTCTCGCTGAGCGCGGCGATGTCCACCTTGTAGCGTGCCAGTTCCCGGGCCACTAGCGCCGTCCTCCGTTCCGGTCGGTTGCTCCTCGGATTGTCTAAAAGGGAACGAACATTCCAGGCTGCCAGAGTGAGCGGGCTCACCCTGTCAGTCTGGGGAAAACGAGTGGGGCGACGGGAAGGAGGTGGAGAAGAATAGGCAGAAGAATAGACGGAGGTAGAGGAAGAAGAGGTAGGATGAGGAGAATGAGTATGGTTGTTGTTGTTTCGATTTTGATTGTTTCGACCGTGAGTTTTGCGTCTGCGACCACGGTGCGCCAGCAGACGACGTGGTTCCCCAGCAATTTTTAGGGAGTAACAGGGAGTAACCGCCCTCACCTGGTTTAGCCTGCCGGTCGAGGCGGTTGCCCGGGGTGTGGCCGCTGAGCAGAGCCCAGCTACGTGGAGCCACAGGTGAGAGTAAGGTGCCAGCAAATGGACGCTAGGCGTAGTCTCACCTGCGAGCAAGTGAGCGACCACTACGACCATCACGTGAACCCACCTCCGACACCCCTACACCGCGTAGAACCACAGCAATCAAGGCGCACATTCATAGAGAGTGGCATCCCACAAGGCTCAGTGCTCGTACAAACCCTCTTTCTCTTGTTCATCAATGATTGTGTAGATAGGTTGGACTGTGATAGTGCCATGTTTGCAGATGACATAAAAATCTGGAAAGTTATGCAGAATGCTGCTGATGAGACCAACTTCCAAGAAAATCTTTGTGGATTGGACAAGTGGTCCCGCAGATGGCTCTTGTCCTTCAATTTAAACAAATATACCATGCTGCGCCTCGAAAATCCGACCCCTTGTACGCGGAAATATCATCTGAACGGAATGCCATTACGGGAATCAGAAACGCAGAAAGATCTCGGAGTCTGGGTTGTAGATAGCCTAAAGCCTTCTACACAATGTTGTAAGGTGGCTAAGGCAGAAACTTCAATGCTGTATGCCATCAAGCGGGCATTCGCAGTTTTCGATGAAGACTGCTTCTCCAAAGTCTTCGGCACGTTTGTAAGGCCGCACCTGGAATATGCAATTCAGGCCTGGAGACTATGGACACATCAGGATTACAATCTGCTCGAAAGGTTTGCAGAGGCGAGCAACAAAGTTAATAAGTGGTCAAAGTGCACCCCCATACGAGATCCGCCTAACTAACCTTAATATCTATCCTCCGAATTATAGGCAGTTGCGCGGAGACTTGATACAAACTTTTCGTATAGTGCGTGACTTGGACTGCGCCCTTCGGTGCGACGATTTTTTCCAAATCGCCACTATAACTAACCTTCGGGGACATCCCTTCAAGCTACGTGTGCCCCAGGGTAGACTGAATGTGAGAAAGTATTTCTTTTCCAACCGTGTCGTGGAAGCGTGGAATAACCTGCCCGAAACGGTTGTCATATCTCAATCTGTGGAGACATTTAAATGTCGGCTTCACAGACATATGCTGCAGTAACAAGCGGACTATGTGATTTTTTAGCCATGATACCAGTGGCCTATGTGAATCAATATCTGCATTTACTTAATGCTGTAATTTCTTCTTATTTTTGCTTGTTTATCGATTTTTATGTACAAATAGGAAGCTGACAGGCGAAAACCTATTTCCCTCAAATACACTGACACTGACACCGATCGAGATAGAATCTCTGCCAAAGCCGCACATATCTGTGGGTTCATATCGCGTAATTATTTCCATCCGGAAATGGAGCTAAGACTTTATCAAATATTTCTTCGTTGCATCCTCGAATGCTGTTGTCCTTTCTTTGGTTTGATAAACGCCTGTGACCGTAATAAAATCGGAAATTTTCAGAGGGTTTTCACTCAGAAACAGCTCTCTTAATTCACACCCGTTTTTGTGGGTTAGGAGACTCGAAGCGGGCCTTTGCTTCTTTTTTTCGCATCAACCGTAACTCCAATCTCCCGCTCATTGACACTCACTCTCCGTGAGACCGGTCTTATGTCACGCGCAACTCCTTCATGGTTATTCCACCGCCTGTTTGCACTACATCTAGACGCTCCCCTTTTTTGCTTCCAAATATGCCTTCCTTTTGAATAATATTCCGCCAGAAATTAGGTCGCCGCCAAAGTTATCGGTATTCAAATCGAAATTACGCAAACAACTTACACAGGTAAGTATGAGCGCAATTTTAATGATCTCATTCCCCAACACTTAGCTTCTTGACTTTGAGAAGGGTCCTCCTGGGATTTAATGGTCGATCAAGTGGAAACCTTCAATTATATCTTTACAACCCCTGTTTTGTATTGGCTACAAAATCCACTGCTATCACTCCTCCCCCATAGCGACGATTTTCGCGGTCCTCGATGTCATCTCCCGCAGTTCGACCTCAAGCGGTCTGCCGAAGTTCACGGCGGAACCCTCTGTAATCGCTGTCTACTAGTAGTTTGGTTGTACCTCCCTTGCCCACTCTTAGCCTGGGCCCGAAGCGGACTGTGACCGTTCGCGTCTGGGTTCCTCTCATCTCGTCACTTTGACGCGAATGGTCCCAACGGGTGTATGAATACTGCCCTGAAGATATCTGTTTATAATCCGATATATACTGCCACACGCAGGCCGGTAGTGCCGCATTTTTGTCCTTTCATGAGCGAAAGTTTTTTTTCCTTGTTAAGTATATCCACTCGTTTTTTATTCTACAATGGAATTTTTTCACTGCACGTTTATCATTTTTCTTAACGGACAACCACTACGGAAACTATGGACTGCATGTTGTACAGATTCAGTTATCTCGTCTTAAATTCATAGGAAAATAAACTTTTGCTTG